AAAAAAGCTTCATGTTTAGATGTAACAGAGTCTATCTTCTTCAATTACTTTAAAGTACTTTCATTAAAAACATTTTGAATTAATGCAGTTATTGATATAACAGAAGTAGTCTAATTCAAAGATTAAAGGTTAAAAGGGGAATGGCTAATTATTAATAATGATGGTTGTTAGAATTATATATTTTTGTCTTAGTGAACTTAAATCATAAAAATACACGTGACGCGCTGTTGCTTGGTTTGACGAGGTGAGTCGCCATTTTCTTCGCTATAAGATTTTTGCTGACTACTTTTTGGTAATGTTTCTTCGGCAGATCGCACACAAAACACAAACTTTTTTTCCGGGGTACCTGATTATCTCTTTCACTACACTCCCCCGTCACATAAGTGACCCTCATGGGTGGGCCTCTTTATTCTTAAGCTTCTCCGGAGCGGGGCGACTGTTGGAGGAGATTGTGTGTTATGTTCTGAGGATTCTTCTGATCTGACAACCTCATGCACAGAGTCTTCATCATCTGAAGAATGTTCTGAAGATTCTTCTTCTGAGGATTCTTCTGGTCTGACAACCTCATGCACAGAGTCTTCGCCATCTGAAGAGATGCTAGCCCTACCTCTGATGGTAATTATTTGTTCACTTTCTGAGCACTCACTGCTAGTGTCACTTGTTGACATATCTGTACCTACATAGCGACACAAGTCCTTTTTGTGTCTTGGTATGCCATCTACCAGCACAGAGCGCGAGTTACTTAGTCCAGTGACATGCCCCACCCGGTACTGAGTTGTACACCGGCTATATGGAGCTTTTACCCACACGCGATCACCAAGTCATATGGCGCACGTTCTTTTATCCATTCAGTTGAACGCGTTGCGTCAATGCCTCATAGCCGGACTTTGTACTGATAAGTCATGTTGGCTGGCGCAGTTGAGGGCGATACATTATTGTCTCTCGGAGTAACATTGTACCAATACATCGCCTCCATTATGGAACACTGCTTCCTAGCAGCGATTCTTTTGATGCTCCGATGACATCGCTTGATTATGCCATTTCCTGATGGGACATACGCACAGCGAAATCTGAGGTGTACTCCCCACGAATCCACAAAATCTTTGAATAGTCCACTGCGGAATGCAGTGTCGTTGTTAGTGAGGAGTTCCATCGGAGGTCCACGTTCAAAGAACAATGACCCCAAGTGGTCAATGACGCTTGCGGAATCCTGTTGACGCAGACGTCACCAAATGTACGTCTACTGTCTCGCCAGGTCGCAAACATCATGCCTGGAATTGGTCATAGGCCACGAACTGGTCACTTCCAAACGCGGTTAGTAGAGCGTGCTTTATTTGCTCAATGTCACTTTTCTGTTCTTTGCTCAGCTGCCTATACACAGCAAGGGCACCGCCTTTCAATCGCAGTGGAAGAATCCATTCAATCTTCATGATCTCACATAATTCGCAGACCAGTTCCACTTTTTCGATCCATTCAACCACAGATTGTCCACTCGTATCACCACTGAATTCAGGGATTAGTTTTATATCAAACGGTCTTTCCACCATCTTGCTAGAGACAAAGTAAATGCCGAAATAGCTTGTAAGTGTAAGCGTTCTGAAAGCAAAGGAAGTATTTGTTGCAGATTACTTCCACAACACAAAGAAAAATCACTGTAAGTACAGACTCGAATATTGGGGGCAGAAAGAAATGCTGAAAACTTGATTCGCTGGTATTATCTCAAATCACAATGCGTATAACCAGTCAGAAAAATAATTCACTCTCTAACAAACGCCGATGCTAAAAATGCCTAAATTTTCCGCCTCTGAATCAAGAACACCAACTGCTTTTATCGGCAGAACCTATTTTTTTCATTCGTCGACAGCTGGGATAGGATGCTCCGTAATTTGCATATCAAAATACTGTTGTAGCGACTCCTACGACGGACTTGTTTCTTTTTCGTCACTTTTTCCATCGTAGAATACATGTGACGCACTGTCGCTTGGTTTGACAAGGTAAGTCGCTATTTTCTTCGCTATAAGATTTTTGCTGACTACTTTTTGATAATGTTTCTTCGGCAGATCGCACACAAAACACAAACTTTTTTTCCGGGGTACCTGATTATCTCTTTCACTACAGAATTTGGCACAGATTCTGGTCCAAACCAAAGAGTAAGTGAATTAGATCCTCAACATCTCATCTGTATCAGTATATAAGCTCAATACAAATGGATATTATGGTTGGTTGAGAAAAGAAATCCATTCTTTGATCACTTATGTTAACAACTTACATAAACAGGAATTCAATTGTAGATTTAAGAATTCAACCTTTAGGCAAATTCCTCTCAACCCATGTTCACTGAAGATTGTTTATCTTTGAAACTTACAACTGCTCAATAATATAAAATCTGTACAACAGATGTAATACTATTGGGCATATGGGGCAAGGAATGGCTTGTTAATTCTAACACCTCCAAAACTTTTAATCGTCTGAGAAAACCCTTTTTACCTTCTATCAGCATAGCTGATGCTAACCTCCAAGAGAGTGACTATGTGCCTTTTAGAACTAACTTTTTTCACTGAAATGAAGTGGAAAGAGTATACTGAATTTATTGCTAAGTCAGCAGCTAAGAAAGTTTGTAAGTCTACCATTCATCTTTGCTTTGAATATTGCTGCCACATCTGGTCTGGTGCTCCTGCTATATATTTAGAGATTCTTTGTAAAATCCGAAGGAAAATCTGCTGTGTTCTTGGTCCTGACCTGGCATCTCGGTTTCAGTTCCTTTCCCACCACCATAATGTAGTTTCCCTGCGCCCGTTCTACAAATACTTTCATGGTAATTGTTCTGATGAATTTTCCACTATGGTATTAGACTTTATGGAATTTAAGCACAGTACTATATTGGTGGCAAGATTTCATAATTTTACAGTTGAAATGGCTAGATGTAACCAAAAGTTCTATGCTAACAGTTTCTTCTATTGAATTTCTCACATGAGGAACTCTCTTCTGGTCTCTTGCTTCCAAGTCAACTTTAATCTACAAAATTTAAATGCAATGTCAATTGTTATCTTCTGTCTCCTTAATTCTTGTTTTTTTTTTTATTGTCCTCTCTCCTTAAAAGTAGTTTTTCTCATATTCTCTAACACTCAGTAACTCCTTGTGTCCTAGTGGCTTTATTGCTTTGCTCAGAGTGAAATGATTAAAAACAAAGAAAAAAAATGATGAGTGACTTGTCCAATCAAATAATATTGGCAACATATTGATTTATTTTTAAAAATTTAAAATAGTCATCTAAGATCTTAGGTAAGGAACAATTAGTAATCATATACAAGGAGGTAGAAATGGATACTGAAACTTTAAATAAGTCTTTATGATCAATTGTTTGGTATAATTAGTTCAATCAGTATTATACTTGCAATGTCTTGTCTTCATTTTTCAAAAGTCTTTCCCTCAATATTAGTAATAAGACTGTCTCTCCATTTTATTTTCAAGTGAGAATGCATGTGATCCCAGCTCAAAATGTTTCCTCAGTGAGTCAATTTGTTTGCACCAAATTGTACATATCATGAAGTATATATATATATATATATATATATTTTAAATGGTTTTGTATTTTAAAGTTGTTTTTCAATAAAGATATTGTGTTTTTAATAAGAGTGAATTTCCTTTGGGGGATGACTCAATTTTATTAAAAGGTACTATTTCTTATTTTTTAACCATATTTTCAAGAAGATTTTTACAGACCTGAATCATTTTATTTGATAAATTATATTTTAAATTACTAAAAGTATAAGGTAAACTAAATTCCAATACATATAAAAATTATTCAAAAGGACTGTACCTTAGTAATTTAGCATCTAAATTACTAATCTGGACTAGAAACATTATTCAACATTTAAATTGAAATTTTAAAAAATAGTTTATATATTGTACAATGAAATTATAATATTCCAAAACAAACATGCAAAATTGTCAAATTTACGTAGATTCATTGTGGAATATCTAATATGTGCATATTTTGTAACTTCCTAAGGCTATGCAAAACAAGACACATCATTGAATGAAAAGCATTACAGACAAAACTATAAAAAAAGTTACAATAACTGTATTAAAATGAGAGAAACAGTGGCACTGGAAACTTCAGCAAAAAATTATAATTTTTAAACATGCCATATGAATATGCCTTATTTAAAACTGATCAGTTTTAAAAGTTTTTTTTGAATGTGTGGTAAGCAAATATAAAAAAAATCAGACACAAATTTAATAATAAAGAGAGGGAAAAATAATCGAAGAATAATTTAACAACAAAGCAATTATTAGTTTTATATTATGACAAAGAAATTCAATATAAATTATGCAAAGTAGGTATGATATAGTATGACTAATTTATTAGAAATCCTATTAAAGACAAGTACAATTCCTATCATTTGCTAGAAATTTTCTAATTAGTAATCTGTTTATAAAAATTTGCCTATGTTGCAATTTTTCATATATTTTTTCTATGGCTGAGAAATGTATGAATTTGGTAAAGCATTTTTAAAGACTATACCCTCATGTAAATATGAAAGATGATCCCATTTTGATTGGTAAATCTACAAGCTTCATGATATAGAAGTGCAAATAGCAATGACCTCATTATACATGAAAAGGTTTTGGATATATTTTTCAGAGGGATTATTTTGTCAACTGATATGAACTGAAAACTTTAGAGCTTGGTGAACATACAAACCGAATGAAATTATCTTTATTTCAATATCTTACATAGAGTCATCCTGTGAACTTTAGAAATTTCATTAGAAACACCAGTTGAAAATTTTAAATAAGGCGTATGTGGATAGGGGGTATGGTAAAAAGATTTTACCTTTTTAACACACCCATTATAGAAATGACATTCAAAGATGTGAATTCATGATCCTAAGATGAGGAAAGAAATAAGAGAGAAGTTGTCAAAACAACAGTAGCAGTCAGTACAAAAGTAGCATATACTTTAGTAGTATGGAATGAGACAAAACACACATTACCATGGACGAGACAGCCATTGGCTTGATAATGGAAATTTGGACCAGCATCAGGAAGAATGTGAGTACTTTGTAGGAGTCCTTCAACAAAAATAAATAAAGGGAAAAATTAGGTAACGTCAAAAACAAAAAATGAAAAAGTCATTCCAAATAAACTATGATGCTTGTCCCACAAATGAATGTTAAAAGAAAAAATAATATAATAATAATAATAATGATAAATCAATTCAATAACAAGAAAAGAAAATTAAAAAAATAATCATGGAATACAAAAGCAATCTGTATGTGTGTGCATTAATAATAGAGATTTGGGCATAATCTTTTTTCTTCAAGAAAAGCAAAAGAAAAGCATAATAAGAAAAAAATTAAAAAACATGCACAATAAAAACATGGAAGATAGCTGAGCATATTGTCTGTTTTGAGGGGAAGCTTATAATAACAAAATTTGGAAAATTAAGGGATGAAAAAAATTAATATGCTGAAAATGTAAACAGGCTATAGACAAATTAGGCTCATGTTTTAAATTTTAAAAATCTCTACATTTAATAGTTTAAATATAAAAATACAATGAAATATTCACAACTATGAATTGTTAATGCCATACTTTTTAATAGTTATTAGTTGTACTTATTCCAAAGATAAAACTTTGCTGCCCAAACATATAAAAAAAATATATAGCATTTTTTATCTTGTGGAAAATCACTAAGCAAATTTTCATGAACATTTGAAAAAAATATTAGCAAATGGTCAAAAGAATTTTTGGAATATCTAAAGCTTTTGGGTGTTAAAGAAAAATATTAAATTAGAAAATATAACAATGTTCATAAAAAAAAATTAATAGATCAATTTTGCATTACTTGGAAAAATGAAATAGTTTTTAGTGTTATCAATCTTTGTTCTCAATTACTGCTTGGTGATTGCTACATCTAAATGACTAAGAAAGACTTCTTTTTTTTTTTTTTTTGAAATCAGTAATATTGAATATAAAATGTATTTAAAATAAATATAAGTATTAATCTGTTTATGTTTCCTGGCATAGACATCAAATTTGCCAGCAGAGACATGAACAGTATTGCTGTTGCCATGCTGACCAATTTCAAGATACCTAACTTTGACATATAAAAATTATTTTGTTTTCTATAGAAGAGAACCAAACTAGTGCAAAAAAGTCCTCAACTAGAGTGAGTTGGGTGTAGGTAAGAGTTTTGTTCTTGAGGATAATTGGTTGTTTAGAAAAGGCAGTCTATCAATGTAGATGGTATCATTGCTAAATTTGCATGGTAGTTGCTGTGCTAATTTGCATAAGAATGAATGTCAACAAATCACAGACAATCTCTGACTGTGGTTGCATTTATATTAAGACAGATATATTTTTTTAATGTCAGAAGGTAGGTCGGTTGGTGTTGACAGTTGCAAGAGTAATACTCAGATTTGTAACTGTTGAGTTTTCTACTCCTCCAATTTTTGACTGTTTCATGTTTTACACATCTGATTTGCAACTGCTTGGTTGTTCTACAGATCCACACAACTGATCAAACTCTACTTATTCTGAGATTACATTATCCCTGTTAATATCACTGAAATTGTATATTCTTCCCCTAACCTCTAACAAATATTTATGCTGTGTACAATAAAAAGAAATAATTTTTACATTTCAAACACATTTTACATAAAAAAAATAATTCATGAGATTTGCATATATCGTCTAAAAAGCAACCTAATATTGAATATAAAATGTATTTAAAATAAATATAAGTATTAATCTGTTTATGTTTCCTGGCATAGACATCAAATTTGCCAGCAGAGACATGAACAGTATTGCTGTTGCCATGCTGACCAATTTCAAGATACCTAACTTTGACATATAAAAATTATTTTGTTTTCTATAGAAAATGTGAAGTGAATTTATGACTTCCGCTATACTTAGGAAATATTTGGCCAGAGTATAAATGACAAGAAGGAACTAGTATTATTTTCTTTAACAAAAATTTGGTTGACTTTCAAGTTTTTTTTTAAAAAACCTAGAGATTTCCATTATACTCTAGTAAGATGCAATTTCTTATGTATTTGTTCTTTATGTTTCTTATGTACTTGTTTTCTCAACACATGCATCAAATGAAACTGAACTTTCTCAGATATTCTGTTTATATGCTTCGTTTAGTATCAAACAACATTTATTAACAGCAAATAAGTTTTTATAAATTATATAAGTTCACCTTTTCTCCTTAAAATGTCAACTTTCCAAATAAAATTATCCGATAAAATAAAGTCATTATCTTGACAAATGTCTACTTTTTATTAATTAAATGTGAAGATAAAGCTGAAAGACTGAAAGGGCTCACAAACAAAAATATATATTTAGCAAATAGAATCATACTTTTGTTATTTTTGCTTTTCAAGGCAGCTGATTGCATCATTAATTAGTTGGAGGATTTTCATAAGAAACAATCTTTTGGAAATCAATTCCACAAATAGATTAAGAGTGTAACTTGCTTTTGTATGAGGAATGAATGGCATATTGAAAATGGATTGAAAGGAGCTGCTGACAGAGAAGAGATGCAGATGAAAACTTTAAAGAAATAGTCTACTCATCATATGTATAGTCAAAGGTTGATGAAAAATTTAGATAAACACTTTCATTATTTTGATGAAAAAAAAAACAAATATGTAAAGGTGATTCCTTTAAGGTGAAAATCATTATCAAGTATTAAATAATATAGTTCTGAAGTTTCTACTGACAAACCACTATATTCATTTTCCAATCTTTTTTTGTTATCAGTTTTATTTGGTTGGTATGTCTCTCTTATGCATACACACAGAATACAACCATGTTCACAGAGTCCTAACAATCATACAACTTATTTTTTTGTCATGTTTTATCAAAGACTCAATTCATATTTTACAAACTAACACAAGTAGCATAGGTCAGAAATATTTAAAAAAAATAGTCAAAAAATGTATAATGGCAATGGTTGATTACAGAAATCCAGACAGCATTCAAATATTTTCCTTAATAATAAAGCTCTAAAATTTATGTGTCACCAAATGAAATACTTCAATAGATCAATAAATAAATAACAAAGATGATTAAAATAATTTTTGAAATCAGAATTTTGCATAAAAGCATTAAGCCTATTCTGGAGCAAACCATTTAACTAGTCTGTGGTGATTTCTATCATAAATAATTGATTATGATGGAAAATAATTTAAAAGTTAGATTAAGTTGCCAATATGTCAGAATTGGATGATCAATCTGCAATAATTACGTAGACTTGCCTCTTTCCCATATTTTACTGTATGTAACTTTTCTACCTTCACTAATGTTATGTAAATTATTAAAGCTTCCTAAGGAAAAATAGCAATTTCATATTTTTTCATCCACTAGTCAAAGAATTATTAAATGCATTCTAAAATATCAAACTGGTATCTCATATTAAGATTAATGGAACTTAATAAGAATAGTTATTTACACAATTATTTAAGATTTTCAAAATATTTAACAAGTCATGAGATGAGTTTTGTGCATTAATCTGGTTCAAGTGGTAATAAGTACAAGTTAGTGGGTGCTAAGGCTAGATTTAAGACCAGTTATCCACACTAGTCTAAACTACTAATGTAAATAATACATTAAGCAACTAATAACATCATGCAAAATGTCAATTAAAACTGAAGGAAAACTGATACAAGAATTTAACTGCTAAAGAAAAACAATTGTTAAGAAAAACAAAGTGAAAATTTATGAGGAGAAAAGCTAGTCAGAAAGTGATTTCAAAAGTTGCTAAATTCCTTTGTCACTTGCCATCATCTATGAATCAAAATATGAACTATGGGAAGTAAAATTTTTGGGTTACATGTGAATCCAAAAATTACACAAAACAATTTTGGTTCCTTTTCATCATTCCAATGATGAAGACTACTGTGAAAAGTATGCAAATGCATTTGCTGAATTAATTCAATTTCACAATGATCGAAGTCTGTCTCTTATTATAAGAGAAGCCCCTGTCGTCAAGGGAGAAAAGCACTGCAAATTTTGACAGATCACTATTTATCAAAAGGAAAACCACAAATAATTTCCTTGTATACTGAATTAACTTACCTACACAAATCAACTGCTGAAACTACTACTGATTATATTATTAGAGCAAAAAAAAAAAAAAACTTCCAGGGAGGTAATTGGCGATGGTTTACTAATAGCCATGGTCCTAAAAGGCCTCTCATTCAATTTCAAGCCATTTACAACTGTTATTATTCAGAAAGACAAGCTACTAACATTTAATGAATTCAAAGTAGCATTGCGAAGCTTTGAAGAAACTTAAAAAAAAAAGATGATTGAGGAGAATAACAGTGAAAATACCATAATGACTCTTCAAATGCCAAGACCAAAGCCACAAACTAATGTTCCTACCTGATTTACTTGTGGTAAACTTGGATATAAAAGCACTGATTGTTGAAGTAAATTTCAGAATTACCCAGTAAATAATCCCCACTCAAATCCACTGAACAAAATTATTATCTGCCATGCTTGTTGCAAACCTGACCTTGCCAATATGCATACATTTGGCACAATTTTCTATGCCTATGTACAAGATAGAAAGAAATTGGACACTAAAGGTGAAAAAGCAATTTTCATAGGCTACAATAAATCAAGTCCTGCCTAATTAACATATATACCTGAAACTAAGAATGTTGAAAGAGTTAGGTGTGTGAAATTTACTGAAATTCAAAATGGCAAGATAAAATTGGACTATATTCCAACAGAAGAAAATGTTGCTGATTTGTTTACTAAAACTAGCAACAGAACAAAATTAAATAAATTCTTTACTGCACTAAGTGGAGTGCTATACTGAACATTTTTTCTTTTTTTTTTTTTTTTTGGCATCTTAATTGCCACACTTTATTTTTTTTATTCCATTGTTTTGTTTTTTTTATTACCCCCCTTTTGTATATGAAAAAAAAAAAAAAGAAGTGAAAGAAAAAAAATAATAATATAAAAGCGGGGTAGATTTAGGGAATAGTGCATTTGATTGGGGGGGGGGTGATTTCAATCTGTCTAAGAATGACTGCAAAACACTTACCCCTCC